GCCATGAGGACAGCGGCAAGGCAGGCGGGCGCTTGCTGAGCCTGCAACTTGCAAGTTGCACGATTTTACCATTGCCCCATATTGGTGGCGGCAAGCACTAGCACACACACACATATATAAACAATATTTCTGTGTGTGTATGTATGTGTGCGCTCACAAGTGTCGATGGCTGCATTATTTGCTTTCGTTGATTTGCGAAACAAAGCGGAGTTTGACGCTGCTTATTGTTGTTGTAGACGGAAAATTGTTGTTGTTGCTGTTCCACAATACACTCGTACAAAAGCATTGCATGCAATTTCCGCAATTTATTGCAGTTGTATGCTGACAATGTTGCAAGTTCGCTGTTTTTCGTTTTGAAAATACACACACGCACACACACACACATTGAAAAAATCAATTAAGTGAAATTAATAAAAAGTGATTAACTTGTGATTGTATAAAAATTTTTCACTGTCATATGTCAGCATTAAATATGCATATTGCTGGCGTGGTTGGCTCTGCCTCCGATTGTGGACAACGATATGTCGAAACACTTGCACACACATACTCATATGCATATGTACCTAGCCATACATACCTATATTTATTATAGTCCTAAAAAGCGCACAACACACTTGCTGCCACCACATACAACAGCATATTGTGGGGCGCACCTGAGCAGCCTTCACGTAATCTCCACAAATTATTAATAATAATTTAATTATGACAAGCGGCGGCGGCCCGTTGCTGGCGAATTGTAAATTAATACGCAAAAGAGTTGCGTGCAAATAAATAAATTGCCCGAAAAATAAGAGAAAACAGTGAAATCTCAAAGATCGCTTACAAAAGCAATGAAAGACAGCGAAAATCGCAGTGGAACAGTAAACAAATGCACAAACATATGCACACACGCGCGGTTGTGTGCACGCAAAGGGTTCGAGGACTAAGCAGCAGCCGGGTCAAGCGGCACAGTGGATTGCCACAGATGAAAAACAGCAAATTGTTCACTCAATAATTCTCCATTGTTATAAACTACTTTTTGGGACTGTTAAAGCTTTTGGGGTGAGCACACAGTCTAGTAAAAATAAAACTATTTTTTTGCATTAAATTCATACACACAGGAAAAGGTAGTATAAGTGTACACTTGGTACCGGGTCTGGTCTATAAGCTGGAAACACAAAAACTTCTCAACGAAACTCCTGGAGCTTATGGATAATTACTATCGATGTATGTGGCTTGCCATTGTCCTCATGGAATAGAATTTCTCATCTATTGGCCTAAGCTGCCCGATTACTTTCTTCATCCGGGGTAATCATTAGTACAGATTCGAATTAAGAGCTTGACCGTAGCGTAGCCGCTCATAGTAAACGATTACCTGCAAATCCCACCAAACAATTCACCGTTTGTACCGCCGCACGTTGTCAACAGAAAAGATCCGCTTCAGAATCGATGATTCGCAGATGTAAATCCGATCCATAAGATTTGTTGTGTTAATTCGTACACATACATCAATCTTCTTTTTATATCAAGCTTTATTTAAATGGCTCTTTATTTAAGACACTCAATTAATGTTACCTAGCCATTAAGGACGGCGGGATGGCCAATCACTTAAACTAAGAACCGACTAAGTTTATAGAAACCTATCAAAACTACATTTCTTAGAGCCCCACAGTAGTCGAGAAATTCAAAACCACTCCAAAACCAAACTTTTTACAATACATCTGACCTATATGTCGAATCGATAGCGTAATGTGAGCGAATGCGGTTGTTTAAAAACTATGATAGATTAGTGGAATTTAACACTCTATAGAGTTGTTTGAAGTTAACGCTTTTTATGAGAAAGGATATGGGATTATCGATTATTAAAGTGAAAACAATTCACAATTTTTTTTTTTAGTTTAATCGTATTAGTTGTTGTATTAAATAGATAACATTTTGGAAAACGATTACTTGTTAAAAAATGATTGTTAAATAAGACTGAAGCAAAGCATTTCGATCTCAAAATTCAAGTATCTAAACTGTTTAGTTTAGATATTGGATAGACTTAGCTTTTTAATACCTACATAATCATAATTTTTTATTTGTTCTAAAGGTACATATGGAGATATTGGAAACTTTTAAAAATTTCGAAAATTAAAAAAATATATTTCGACCTAATTTTCTGTCTACCAAAACACTGTTCCTGCAACATTCGCGCTGCTTCAGATCGGTTGATGAGATAGCAGGAAAACGTTAAGGCTACTGGGCAGTGCCGAGGCTTGTGTTTGCGATTTTATTACATGTTCATGCAGTACTTTCGAGCATAAAATACGAAGCATAGTGTATATGTTTATATGTATGTACGTGCATATGCATTCAGCAGTCGAATGTGTTACTTAAGCGGATCGTAAACGCCGATAAAATTTAATTCAATATTAATTTGCCGAATATTCTCGCTCGAATGTCAGTAAATACAATTCACCAATTTATGCACAATGATAAGACGTTTTATGGCATTTACGCACATATGTATGTATGTATGTGACTGTTGTACGCCACGTCAAGGGCTTCACATTTCATTTGTGCATATTGCAAGTTTGTTGTTTTGCCACACACACACACACGCACATACATGTGTGCCGTTGTTATTCTTGTAAATTATGTGCACTTTCACCAGCCAACATAATCATAAAAATTCCATGGATATCTTGCAGCCTCGACAATGGTTATCCCAATGGTGCACAGATTGCATGAGAAGCCACACGCACACACATACATACATACATATATACAATGCATACATGCGTACTCAATATGAATATATAGTTAAATGCTCACAAGTCGGCCAAGTTATTTCTCATTCTGCATGCTCTTATGATTGCAACTATGCGCATGCGTTTGTGTGCGCATTGTCATATCCTTTTGCCCGTCCACTATATCAACGTAATGATCAAATTAATTGGTTGTGGGTGAAGAGATCATCATTGTCAACGTTTGCAATGTGTCATATATCACGCTGAAGTCGGCAAAAAAATCTCAAAAAAATTTCCAAAAAAAAAAACTTAAGATAATTTAAACATTTTTATTCAATAAAATGTAACCAGTGCTCGAAACCATTGAAATTTTTATATTTGGCTTTTTTTAATTTTTGTGCATAACACGCAAGTGTTTGTGTTTATTTTCGTAATGAAAGTGCAACAGCGACAGCGGTAACAGCATGTTGCATCAGTTTCACTGAAGGTGCAACCTTCATTGTGTTCGCCACGCTCTTACCTTTAGGACATCTACAGTTTTTCTTGATGTTTTATATTTTTTATAATTTTTTTTTTTTACCGATCACCCACTGTGTGGGCGCTGTAAGGCATCCATAACTGCACAAACGCACTCACCAACATGACACATGCGTGTTTAAGCTTCCTGTGTCCAACTTTTCGAAATTTTCGGCAAATGTGTTTCGCATGTTTTGGCGCATATTTATGGAACATAATTGCGAGTTAAAGCGGCGATTTAAATTAATTACATTGTATATTGTACGCATGTAAACAGTTTTGTTAATTACAACATTAAAATGCATATTTTAGCTTCATTCGCATTTTTCAACATTCAGTTTAATGTGTCAAGCCATAATTTCGCAGGCGGCGACAGGCTGTGAAAGTCGAAATTTTGCCAAGTGAAGGCGATGTCGAAAGTTATACTTGCAGGCGTTTGCTATGGAGTTTTAGAAAATAGCACTAGACACTTACATATATATACTTATAGATACATTTATTTGAAGGAACGAAAAAGAAATAGAATACAGAAATTAAATGGCTTTGATAACTTTTGCTGTAAGAATTCTATACAAATTTTAGGCTGACAAATTCTCTTTTTCCTCTTTATTAACTTCTCATTTTCTCAAGAATTTGTTAAAAACCTTTAGGATAGGCTTGGCAGTGAAATGAAAATGTCAAGTTAAAATATATATAAATCTATGTTAACTCTCCTCGATTCGCCAAGCACTACAAGGTGGCGAATCGAACACATTACACCAGCTGTTTAAACAGATGGTAGCGCTGGAAAAGAACTGTCGAAGATTACATAGATTTGCTCACACTGAATCAATTTTTTGTAAGCACTGAGCTATTTAACAGTTCAAAAAATAAATAAAGAGGCCTTATGAAACCGAATATTGAATTAAAACATAAAACAGTTTTTTTACAAAAAGGAAAAAGCGCAAATGGACAACAACAGGTATATTTATTTAGTAAAGAGGGCTTTCAATTATTAATAATACCTAGTTGCTGTATTTACACTAACAAGAAAAAACGTTAAATTCAGTGTCACCGAAGCTATAATACCCTTCACAAATACAAAAAATGTATAGCATGTACATATGTATCTCATCAAATGGAAAAGCGTTCCACTCAAACACTTAATTCCTACTGTTCGGTTTGTATGGGAGCTATAAGCTATAGTTACCAGATCTAAACAATTTCTTCGCAGATTGTACCATTGCTTTAAGCAATAACCCATACTAAATTTCTTGGAGATATCGCGGCAACTAAAAAAGTTTTCGATACAAAAATTTAATTCTATTTGTATGGCAACTATGTATATGCTATAGTGATCTGATTTCGGTTTAGACAATTGAGCAGCTTCTTGAGGATAAAAGGACGTGTACAAAATTTCAGATCAACTTTTTTTCTGAAGTGAAAATAGCCCCGAGGACACTTAAACTAATAATCGACTCGACGAGAGATCTATTAGAATTTTATAGAGATCTATCAAAGCAACATTTTTTAGAGCCCAACAGTAGTCGAAAAATTCAAAATCACTCTTAACGAACTTTTTACATCTGACCTATATGTCGAATCGAGAACGTAATGTGAGCGGATGAGGTAGTTTAAAGCCCAAACTTCAAAACAGGTGGAGTTTATGGATTAGTGTAATTCAGCACTCTGTAGAGTTATTTATGTGGTAGCAATCTAGAGAAAACCTGGCTGCTTGATAAAAATCTCTCAAGTTGACGCTTTTTATGTCAAATGATATGTGATTATCGATTATTAAAGTAAAAATAATTAATAATTTTTTTATTAGTTTAATCGTATTAGCACATCATAAATTGTATATTATTATCTCAACTAAGCCGAAAGTCGTCATAAATGGGAACATTGAATTGGATCCACATCTGAAAAGGTAAAACAACAATATAGACAAAAAAATACCAGAAATATTGTATTTATTAAATTCGTTGTACAAAAGAGATAATTTTTTAAAAAAAAATTAATTTGTAACGCATTTAAAAATTAAGACTCAATAACGACATCACCGATCAAAGCGATGCTCTCAATCTCGACCAAAGCATCGAGAGGCAGACGAGCTACTTGTACACAGCTGCGGGCGGGGAAGTTTTTGGAGAAAACTGAAAACAAAAAAACAAAAACAAACAAAGCAAAATTTAAATTAGTGGAGACATTTGCGTCAAGAGCGCAGAAACTGATAGAGCAGAGACATATGTTATAATCTCATATGAAAGCGGCTGCCGTAAACAACTAAACGTCCGTAAGTCAGTCAAAACAATTGCGCTAAATGCTGTTACTATTAAACTATTGATCACACTGATAAGCTAAAGTCTATTTATTTTTCGATTTTCGGCAATTAAGCGACACTTAATGATTATTTTATAATGGCGATAAGAAAATGGTATATAAATTACACACGAGTACGTACACGTGTGAACACACCTTTTTTGTATGCATCATTTACAGCGCCAAAGTCATTCAGATCCTTTACGAATATAGTGTTCTTGACCACATTATCCACCCTCGAGCCGGCAGCTTCCAAGACGGCCACCAAGTTCTTCAAGGCCACCTCCGTTTGTTGCGTAACGCCGCCCGGCACCAGTTGCAGCGTGTCTTTGTCCAGGCCTAAGCAACCGGATACATAGACAGTGCGATCGGCAACGACAGCCTGACTGCATTGAAAGCAGAGAGATAATTAATGTTGTTATACATACATAAATGCATTTGGTGGCACGCTGGTGGCCAATGCTCGCTTATAAGATTAATAATTGTAATGGCTTATTTTGACAAGTGTCAATTTGTTCTGAGTGCTGGCTGGTCGCCACATATGCGCAAAAAATTATAGCAATAACTCGCTATTACATACTTGTATGGTGCCACCGGCTTTGCGGCATTGGCGGTGCTAATCAATTTTTTCACGACTCTAGACATTTTTCTGCCGCTAATTGAATATTATTTTTGTGATAATATGAACTTTGTATTTTTACGCTCTACACTTGTCGAACACTGAGTACTGACTGAATAGGCGTACACTTGTTCGCATGTGGCGCTCCAAACTATTGTCGTCTATGTGCAAAAGTGTGTGTGTGTTCGAGCAGTCGATTTGTTTGTCGTTGGAGACATGTGGAGAATATGATAATCTTGTTGTTGTTGATTTTTTGTTGATAACATATTTTTGCTTTATTATGCTCACCGGCGCTTACTCTCAGTACTTGTTGACTTGTTATTGTTGTTATGAAAACTTGTTCATAGTTTATCAACACTAATCGCCAGCGTCGAGTGCCGGCATTTGGTTTGCTGGCACTTCATATTGGATCGGCTTGCTTCTTAGCTCAATATATACACTCGTAGATGTATATATGTATATGTTTGATGTTTGTGCGCTATTATGTATTCGCTAAAAATATTGTCTGTATGTTGGCTGTTCAAAACATCCTCACCCCATGCAAAGATCGACGAAGCTGGGAGCCTAATTATGCCTAATATTGTAATATATAATAAGTACATTTCTATTGTTATTGTCTTTTTTCTATGAAATTTGCGAAATTTGTAAATTTACATAGAAAAGATGCTACTAGAGGGCACAGGTGTTCGCCGCTTAACAGATTGCTTGAAGAAGATTATGCCCTATCTTCGCTGAGACGAACAAGTAATTTTTAAACGCTAACATACATACATATATGTATATAATATATATTAAATTCACTGAACTAATGACGAAAACTTTACCAATTCGAAAAGAGCTGAAAGTATCTAGTTCTTTTTTGAAATAATTGAACTTTTCTACAACTCCATGATAGTGGATAAGAGAGGTGTTTTCAAACCGTGTTTGAGCCAACGTAAGTCTGCTAAGCACTGCTCTAAACAGTTCAAACTTGATATTAACGACAATATCCCGCAGGCGCCACACATTCTATTGAGAACGTTGTACCAAATACATTTACGGATTGTTCGAAATGAGTTAAGTGGTCACCGCATCGTCTCTTTATCTACACGACGTTAAATACGGTATTTAAAAATGGCATATGCTGCATTATTATCCCCTTTGCATATAGCAAAAATTACAAGTCCAGTCCTATATTAGAGGGTCTGCAAATATTCTACAATGTGTGAACTGAGCCTCAGACTTGAACTTTTTATTCCGTTATCTCTCTGAAGATATCTTTCTTTAGATATCTCTCTGAAAGCATAATAGAAAATATTTAAGTGTGTTATTTCATCCCTCCAAAAAATCGAGTTTTCCTAGAAAAAGATGCCCATAGTCGACAGGTGTCGAATAAAAACGCAAAGCGACGAAATTTTATTGCGTATTATCCAAAGCATTTTCAAGCTTTGAATGGAAAGCGTTAATAGAATATTTCGGAAAATTAATGATTAATTTTTACTTTTCTTTTTTAAAGAGTCGTTCAAGAATATGATCGAACTTTATGACTAACTAAGTTTAATTTGAGATTATTTTCTGAGAGAGATCTTCTAAGTGGAGAACTGAAAATAAGGAATTTATTGTTTAAATTGTACGATTATTATAAATAATCAGTCGATAGGTCCAATACATATATTATATATAAATGAAACAAGTACGATTGATGTAACTATGTATAATATTATTCCGAATACACAAGACAGGTTTTAATTAGCGTTATTTACTGGTTTCGCTTAGAAAGTTATCGGGATACTTAGTAAATACTCGAATCGAAATCTAAAAACAAAATTAGAAGGAAAACCTGCCAACAATCGTCAAATCACCGTGGAATAATTGCATTCCACCATTAAACGGTACAATATTCAGCAGATCAGCTGATGAATGACTTAGTAGTAATTTACAGCTAATCGTTTATGCTGCGGTGCCAAAATCGTGTCAAATTGAACGAATTCGTAAAACATTGCAAGCGCTGCTACATAGTCTGCCCCAACACTCAGAATGAGTTTATAAATTTTTCAAGGCCAGACCCTTTTACCCAGTCAAATTGCAGCATTTAGTAAATAATGCATGGCCATTAAATGCCAGACAACACAAAGCACACGCACCTACACACAAGCATGCATAGTGTGGCTGCACAAATAACAACCTGTATAACGTTGTGGCAAGTAGATAAACAGCGAAAAATAAATAACTGCATGTTCGTTGCAGCTATGTAGACAAACAAAAATTTATGCAAATGCAACAAATAGTCGAAGATGCAAAGCGTCTGTTGCCGGCAATGCGCTGAAAATTTGCATATATGAGCGCATAATTGTGTGCAACATAAAGTTGCAACAATACCCGAGGAGCGCTATGGCGCAAGCAATGCAATGCGAATGCTAGCGACGGCAAAGGAATGACAGCAACAGCAGCCATCAGCCAGCAGCAACAATAAAATTGTAATATAACAGCTGTAACAATAACAACAACTACAACAGTAGCGTGCATAACAATAGCAACAAGCTGGCAACTGGTAAACGACACGAGTTGTACTACAATAGATTTTGCTGTTGTCATTTGTTTGACTAGGCAAACGCACACATGCACACACAACTGCATATGTACATATGTATGTATGTATGTATAGGCATAATGGCAACATAAGCCTTTGCGAAAATGTTGCCAGCAAATAGAATAAGCCAATTGTTTTGCTGCGGTTGTTAATATTACTGTTTATCAGTTGTTGTTGTTGTTGTTATTATTGTTGGCATTGTAGTTGTCGTTGTCGCTGTTTACTTGTACGACAACAATAAGTGCGCACACCTCCCAAACTTAGGCTCACATGCATGCCCCTGCACTCGCACTAAACATTTGTATGCGCAACATTTTGTACAACACTTGCAACACTTACGTGTATTGTTGTTGTTGGTGCAACTGATGTTACTACGATGAAGCATCGCATTTTTGCTTGCCTTATTTTTTCCGTGGCATGTATGCAATTTACCCGCCACACGTAATAAGCAGCGTCAAATGTTTATAAACATAGTCGGCGGATGTTGCGGGGAGCTGATGCGATTTTGAGCAATTTATTTCGGCTTAAGGTCAGACAAAACTTTATACACTTACTATGTATATGGATGTATGCACTTGCACACCTACACACTGTGTCATGACTCAGCGCATGCTCATAAATAGTAAGTGTCTAGCAACAAATGTTGCTTGTTGTCAATTGTCATGTTGAGAATGCCAGCAACATTTTATTACTGCTGCTGCTACTTTTAAGCATTTTTATTACATAATGCGATTTGCATTTGTTTTTTTTTTATATTTTCTATACGTATTCTATTGTATATCACTTGTTGTTGGTGGTGTTGCTGGTTGTGGCAAAGTGTTGGCGGAAATCCGAGAATTGCGGTCTTAAAGCCAAATGAATTATGATTTTCTAGCGCTTCGCTCAAGTTTTGACTGAAATGAGTGCATTAAAAAATAATAAAATCTATATAATTTGTTCTTCGTATAGATTTTAGCATAATATGTCTGTTTATATAGGTCAACGTCGCTTTCTCTCTTCAATGTTTATATGTACTATGCGGCTTTACCCACCCTTCAGTTATTTGCGCACGCAATCCTTCAAAGCTCTGTGTCTGGTATGCATTTAATAGCATCGAGGAGTTGCTGAAGAAAGTAAATAATTATTTCATTCCCAAAAAAAAAACGGTTATCCTCCTTCAACTCAAACGCAAATATTTGATTTACAGCTCTTTTACGTTGAAGCCGTCAACATTGGTCGGAAATGAAGAAAAAAGACACGGCTCAAAGATGGCACAGTGGTTCATTTCTATTGCACGAATATATACAAGATAAATTCATTATTTAATGAATGGAAAAAGTTACTTCTACTATACGTACCTCTGCGTAAGTATATTTCCGCTGCAGTCATACCCTAAAGCTTTTGCCGCAGCGGCGTATGAGTGATGTTTTTTTTCAAAATATTCTTTTATTTGTGAAATAATAAGTTAAAGGACTTCGTTGAATTAAATGCATATAAACAACTCACTAAGCATATGATGATTGTCAAAACTATCACTGTGGCATTTAGTCGTTAATTTTTATTAATTTTCTGTTTTTTTAATTTTTCGTAGATTCACTCTTTGTGAAAACGCTCTCATTGAATTTTCAAAATTTATTTGAGCTAACAATAAACTGCTAGTAAAGTGCAGAAACGAGGTTATTCAAAGTGTCACACTAAATAACAACCTTCAGTCAGTCACATACGTTAACGTTCTCTTTAGGTGTTCAATAATTTAAATATAACATTCATGATGTGGTGTGATCCACTTAAACCATTAGTTACCTCTCAAATATATTTTTGCTACCAAGCTATTTACTCGTTTGCTAATTTTCTGTTAAAAAGCAGAGTGCTGCCAAACAATTGATACAGTGCTTCTAAACAAATACAATTTTCAACAGATCCATTTCTGTGCTGCTAATTTGTTGCACTTCTGGTATAACGTGTTCGATTCAATACTCTCAAATGCTTGACGAATTGAAGGCAGCTACTGATTAAGTACTGTCACATTATCATCACCACTGAAGTTTTTGCATATATTTGTAGATATAGATACACTTTCCATTATTACAAGATTTATTTTATATAAATTAAATCCTTTATGAGTACAAATAACTCTGAGCCACTGTTAAACTGTCGCCACAATCACAATATTTTTGTTTTTGATTTTGACTCGCCTGCTGCTTGCCAAAGTAAACATCACGTCAACACGCTGACGCCCCTATGGCCTGGGCAAGCAAACCAACCGAAAAGTCAGCCATAAAAAGCTTCGGTTTGTGCATGTGCAACATTGCAGTTTTCAGTTTTCAGATTACGGATTTTGGATTTTCAACACTGCAGAAGACTAATTATTTATTATTTGGCAATTGAGCATGTCAGACGATGCCATATAAAATTCCCAAATTCAAACAAAATAAAATAATTACACGTTGGCAGGCAGTGACGTTGCCAAAGCAAAGAGCAGTTGAAAGCAAAAAATATATACAACAAAAGTATAAACATACATTGGTGAATGATCGCAAAGAGATCGAGCATGCAAGAAAATAAACAAACATTCAAAGTGCTTTAACATTAAAAACTAACATACATACAAACAAACACATATTATAGTCGTTGGTGCGGCTAAACGTTGCAACTGACGTTAACGCCACCAACACCAGCGCAACCAGCGCAACCATCGCATCACACATAAAGAACCACAACCGACAACAGCACTCGTTCGTCAGTTGTGCGGTCGCTGTGCAACGCTGCGTCTGGGCTGATCTGTCGGTCGGTCAGTGGGCGTAGGTGAAACGAATAATGCGGAATACACTTAAGTAATGCCACACTACCAGCCAAGAAAAAGAACTGCATGCCGCTGTAACACACCCAGTAAAAAATGCGCAAAGAATTAAAAAATCCCCCAGAGCATTCGTCTCGACGTAAACGTACAACAGGTACAACACGCAACGCAAACCGACAGCCAACCGGTGATGGAGTGAATTGGTGACGTAGGCGCAGCAATTGCAATCGGTTGCAAGTGCTTTTGTTCTCCACTGCAGTGTGGTGTGATATGGTGTTGTGTGGCATGTGGCAAAACTAAATGCACGCCGTAAGTGGGTAATGGAGAGATGGTATAAATGGCATAAAAATGTTTATTGAAGCAGCGACCACGCACTTTTCTCGCGTAAATACACTGTGAGGAGAAGCAAACTAATTCTTTAACTCATCCGAAAAATTCCTCATCCGGAGATCAGCAAGATAGGCCTTCATGGCAGCGATAGTGTTATTTGACTAAAATTTTTGCCCTCCGAGTGTTTTTTTTTCAAGTGGGAAAAGCGTAAGACCAAATCGAGAAAGTTCAGTGGTTGGGACAACAGTAGCGAAAGTTCTGGGGTCACATCCATTTGTATTCTTATGATGGAAAACCATTTATTTCTTCGGTAAATAGGTTAATTTTTTCTTTCCTCTTCCAGGCAGTTATAGATCACGCCTTGTGAATTCCAGAAAACTTTCCGACTTATAGAGCAGTTTTCACCTGCGAAACCCCTTGTTTCGACTGCCCCTCAATCTCTATTGTATACCGATGGATTCATGTTTACTCGAAGATCTCGCAACGACGCAGAAACTATTTCGGTTCGAAGCGACAAGCACTTCTGTGTTCTGGTTTAAAGTAAACAAACGCGACCTCCATCGCGTCGATAGTGCTGTCAAGCTCAATATTAAATACAAAATGTGACCCACAAGGGTAAAGCAATTCTAGAAGTCTAATTAGGTTGAAATTTAAATAGTTACCAATATCTATATAACATAGACAGCGAACTTCTTTCGCGAGAATGGCGGCTTCGGATGGTGTCACTAAGTACTTATCGGGCCAGCCTCGTTGCCTTGTCTATTATATGTTCTCACACCAGATCCTATCGAACGAGCAGAGTCTGCTAAAATCTTGTTAATACTATATGAAGCAACAACAAGAAATTCTCATGAACTCACAAAAATTTTGCTCAGTGCTTGGTGCCTCCTCTCTGCGCAGCGCTGCATACAGTTAGCGTTACGCATTTCCTGAACAACCTACAATTTCTCCAAAACCATTCAAATAACTTCGTTCCCCTCAAACACACACACACACACACGTACTTTTAGTGTATTTCTCTTCTTTGAAAACATTACCTTTGTATATGTGACGTTGCGGCTTTGTTGTTGGGTGTCGCATTTTTGCGAATTAATTACTTCATACGAGGATGCATTTCATCAAGCGCTCCAAAAAGATCATCCTGAAGCGTTCGCCACTCGAAGGCACATACACACACACACACACACGCCGAGCCTTAGCCACATACGACAGCGGCCTCATTTCGAATTTTATGAGCATTTTACCTGCCAGCGGTAAAAAGGATAAATTAAAAGCTTTTGTGTGTGCAGTGCGTGGTATGCGCGCATGCGTGCCTGCATGCAACGGATCGTTCGTGCGACGTCAATGGCAAAGTCGAAATTAAATCATTTAAGCGTGAAAGCATTGGGATTTGAGCTGCCAGCCGAACGCAGAAGGCAACAGCGAAAAGAAAAGGCAGAAAAGGTGTAGCTAAGAAGAAATCAAAAACGGATATACAAACATATACTATATGCGACTGTAAGTAAGTACGTGAAACGTGCAGCCTGACATGAGCCACATCAAAATCCAACTCATTGCTGTGCTTTTTGCGGCTTAAACGAATGAGCGCATCACTGTTGCATGCAACATCAACTGCAAACAACAACAGGCCCTTGTAGACAGTGAAGAAGTCTTATTTTTATTTCCACTTCTTCTTCTTCTTCTTCCATTGCTATTGCCACATTGTGGGGGTGTAATCAAGCGCATTTGATGCGCGGAAATGTTGCGCATTATTTAGGATTAAAGATATCATTTCGCGCGCGCGCCGCAAAAAAGTGTAAAAAAATTGGACCTGCCCATGTAAATATGTTTGAGAGCTAAGCTGTATACGAAAGTGTTGCAACAACAGTTCATTGCTTTTTGTTTTTGCGTATAGGTGTTTGTCAAAACTACTACTACAAAAGGAAATGTAAATAATTATAAACCCTGTTACAGTAGACATTGGATTTATATTTTGGGGCATGGTACCTCCTTTTTTTCTTTTTAAGTTCTGAAAGAGTTTGAAGAAATTTTAAGTATGGCAAGTAGGCGTGGCTTAATTCGGATTTTTGTGTTTACTTAAATATAGGAAGCCCATCATCTAATGCTTAAAATAATTCTTATTCAAGTCAGCTGTACTAGCTTTACGGTTAAGTTTAATTCCTCTGTTTTCTACTAGTCAGACTTAATTTTTTTTCTTTTTGGTTGCCATGACATCCGTCAAATATAATATATGGATGTAAACTTACAGTCATTGAACAAACAACATCAAATTTTTTCAGTGTGTTGAAAATTAAGTCAAAAAGTGGATATCAGATTAGTTTGCTTCAAAAGACGAACATTTTTATTGGTATGGTATCCAAAAATTGCCAGAAAGGTGGTCAAATGTGTAAAAAGGATGATACTTTAAAAATTTATTTTTTACTTTCCTATTCAAAATTAGTATTTCATTTCCACAAAAAAAAAAATGCTTACCGATGTACTAGGTGTACATTTTAATTTAAATTTAATTAAGTTAGAGACCAAGCCCATTTTTTAGAAACCGGCAGACGGAGAGATTGACGCCCGGAAACCTTGATATACTAGTATATAAATCCATATAAAAGCAGCTTGAAAAAAGCCAACAAAATTTCCAAATATTTCGACTAGCTTTTAGAGAAGATATTGAATCTAACGAGTATAGCTCGACATCCGCTGAAAAATTCTATAAATTTATTTTTAGAACGCTACAATCGACCGCTATGTCGTGCCACACATCAATAAAAACGATGCCAAAATTGCAAGATTTTTGCTACGAATTGTTGCTTTATCCAACACATTCTCCAGATCTGATCTCCAAGCATATTTTCTAGTTCTCAGAGCTCAAAAAAATGCTCGCAGCAAGGAAATCGACTGAAACCATGACCGATTTTGAAGCTGGTGTTGTAATAGCGGCTGAAAACATTCCTGAAGTAATTTCGAGGAATGTTGCCGAGTTAACACTTCTTGGCACGATGAAAATCCGGTTCCGTTCCGGTTATTTAGACCCGACTGTTGAGGGAACGGCTATTTTTAAGCTAAATACCTAATGGTTTCGAAAAATCGAAATGGTAGAAAAATGTTATTGACAAGTTAGAAAAGCGTTATAATTGGTAGATAACGAAAGCACTGCTGGTGTTTACGAATAGAACACATTCCGGTCTCTTCGCTGATAGTTAGTACTGCTATATTTAAAGCAGTGCTCTTTTAACTCAGCACAAGCCACATTTTCACTTTTTTCACGCTTCAACTTACTTCAAACTCGTTTAACTCACTTAAACACTGGCCAATTATAAATTTTATATATTTTACAACGGTAATGGCAATGCTAATTTATTCATTGCAGTTCATATAAAGAGCACACATACACACACACACACCAAGTGCTGCTTGCCACATCTCGTATTTCATGTGGCAAACGAGACTACTAGTTACGATGCGCTTGAAAATAGCTTTTTAATCGTCGCTAATAAACTCTTCAAGCCATCAATTAGCCACATGCAACACACGCGTTCCAAGGCAACGCCACGGCAAGTAACGTTGCATTACAGGCGCATATATATACGCCATTTAAGCATAAATAGGCGCAATGGTTACGTACAGTAGCCAAATTAAAATCAAATCAAATAATTCAGTGTGAAAAATCAC